GATGCAGGAAAGATGAGTAAATATGCTACCTGTTTTTACACTGAAATGTAAGCTCTATGAGAACATGGATTTTTATGTTTTATTTATATCATTTGTAATGTCTAGGGCAGGCCCTACCATATTAGAAGTGCTGAATAATAATTGTCAAATGAATGGTGTCTCCCAAAGAGCTTAGAAGTCAGATGGATAGGATAAGACAGACATGAAATTAAATAGGGACAACATTTACATAATAGATTAGCAGATTTCCTCTTTTCTTCCTCTAAACCCTTTGCTTACATAGTAAATAATGTCATCTCAGTGTGAGTATTGAGTAGTTCTGGGGTTCTCTGTGAACTGGTCTTTAGCAGCCACCACTTTTGGCTCTGTAACCAGAAGATTCTGGTTATGGCAGCATCTCTTCACACATGAGGTAGCATTCCAGAGTTAATTGTGTTATGTTTGTGGCTTCCAGGCCTGATGGTACTGTTCTTTTATGTACTGATTACTAATTTTTAAATTTTTATTTACTTATGTATTTGCAGTACTGGAAGTGGAACCTAGGGAGTGCTGAGCTATATCCTTTTCAAATTTCATCCTGTGAAAGAGGCTTGCTCAGTTGCTCAGGCTGGTCTTGGGTTCTCTGGCCTCAGCCCTCTGAGTAGGTAGATCTCCAGGCATGTGTCTATCTAGTTATTACTAAATTTTAAAGTGAGATTATAGGCTATTGGTGGTGGGCAAAGTAAGGAGTTAGAATATTTGTAAATGCAAGAATTGTTAAGGTTTAGAGTAAGGTTTCTAAGAAAGAACTCTCAGCGTAGGACCTCTCAGATCTGGGGCCCAGTGGTTACAGAACAATCCTTAGACTAGAACCTCACTTGTCCTTTGCCTTGAATCTTCTTGGGACATCGTGTTCCTTGGATTGGCACAAAATGCTGCCTTTGACACCTATTTAGGGTAGTTGGATAGGAGCAAGGTCATGTCAAGGCTTTATTAACCACTTCACAGTTTACCCTGAGTGACAGTTGAGCAGTGTATTTGTTTATGCACCGATTGTCCCCAGCATCACTCAGGCAGGTATCCTTTCAACCAGTTGAGTTTTGTATGCATGAGATATACTTGCACGTGTGTTTTATACCAGCTAATTTTTGCACACTTTTTTATTTAGAATGTTATATTTTCCTTTGCTGTTTGTTTCTAGTGAAAGCTAATACTAAGTTCTGGTTATTTTCTTTTAATAATTCATTTTTATTTGTGCAAAATAACCTATAATTTTGTGCTACAGTCTATACAAACCCTTACCTAAGTACATTAGATATAATTTTTATACTTTTCCAGAACGCAGTGATATTCTTTCACAATACAGAGCAGACACATTTGGGACACTGAGATTGAAGAGGGGCAGGGGATATAGCTCAGTGGCATAAGTGCTTGCCTGGCAAGCCTGAGGTCACAAGTTCGATTCCTGTTACCAAAAAAAAAAAAAAAAAAAAAAAAAGAGATAGAAGAGGAAGAAAGTGCTAAAAGATTTGCAAAAGAAAAAACTGAAAAGGGAAATGTTAACAGATCAGAGAGGAAAAGTCTGTTATGAAATGGAAAGACAAAATAGATGTCTCCTTATTGTCAACTATTCATAATACAGAAATAATAGAACTTGCAAAAAGAAGTGAAACTAAAAAAATTCTAATAGTGGTCAATGATTAATAATTCTGTGAGTGGTGTTGGCAGAGTCGAGCAATGTCTAACAAGCAATCCTGTAATCAAAAAGTGAGGAAAAATTATTATAAAATATTTGATTATTATAAATATAAAAATATATATAATACTTACAATATTATATAGATATTTATAAATATTATAAAAATATTTATGATTAGGGGGTGGGGATGTGGCTCAGTGGTAGAGTTCTTGCCTTCCATGCATAAGGCCCTGGGTTTGATCTCTAGCACCACCACCAAAAAAAAAAAAAAAAAATTTACGATTATTACCTTCTGGACCAAATAATGTGGAACTCATTTATTTATTTAAAAATGGGGTTCAAAAAGCCATTTACAGTTTAGATTAGGTCTAGTTGACCAAATAATTGAAAAATACAGGATAGTGAGATGCCAGCCAGGAAGTCCATCATTGATGTCTTCACATTTAGTGGGTAGACATTTTATAGAAATTATACCACCCACAGGAAGAAAGGAAAGGCCAACACGACAGTGTAAAATGTGTTGTTCAAAGGAAGATAATATGCAAAAAGAATTCAGAAAGATACTAGATAGTACTGTCCAGAGTGTAACATTGTGTTATATAATGAATGTTTTACGATATACCAGACACAGAAAAGTGATTGGATAAATTAGATAAAATTGTCAGTTTTATATTTCCTGTTATGTTATAAAAATTAATGAAAAATATGCAATTTTGCTCATCTTGTATATAATTGACCTGGTGAGTGGTTAAGAAGTACAGAGAATTCACTTCTTTGTCATCATTTTTGCCAAATTTAATTTAGTACCCTCCTTTGTCCTGCAGTGCACAGGAATAAAAGAGGTGGTTATTACCTTAGTTTCTTTCAGGTTGTTAGGCTGTAGATTGGTTTAGTTTTCTTTAGAGATTTATCATAAAGACTAATCTATTGGCCTTTATGAAACTTGACCTTGTGAACCCCTGTAACTAACATTAGCAGTGAACTGATCTTTTTATGTCCTAGATTACCTGCTCTTGCCAACTCTAGTATTTCTACCTTATCAATGAATATGCTTCTCCTCTGACAAGATCTGCTCCTACCCTCTCTTGTAATGCTCAGCTGTCTCACTCATTTTTTTTTTTTTTTTTTTTTTTTTTTTTTTTTTTTTTTTTTAGATGGGAGGAAGCTTGGAGGAAGAAGGGAGGATGGAGAAACACATATCAGGTTTGCCTCAAACTTTCTGTCTTACTGGATCAGCCTCTGAACCACTACACCCAGCCCAACCCTCCCCCCTTTTCTTTTCTTTTTTTTTTTTT